CTTCTCCTTTATTCCAATCCATCCAAACATCTTTACTTGTACTATAATATCCTGTTGCACTTAATGATATATCTCCTTGGAAATAGGCATTCTTAATTAATTCTTTCCATTCTTCACTTGTTAATTTTGGTGGTAATCTTTCCAAATCTTGTTTTATAATTGTATTTAAATCTTCTCTTATTATACTATTATCTAAATTATTTATATTATTTAAATTATTATTCATATCATTTGTATTATTATTCATATTATTATTTGTATTATTATTTGTATTATTATTTAAATTATTTAAATGATCATTTTCATCATAATATAAATGAGGAAATAATTTTCTTTTTAAAGAATCTAATCTATTATTTAAAGTTTGACATGCTTTAATAACAGCTTGACCATATAAATCTGAAGAAACAGAAGCAGCAGTAGCAGATGTATTTGGTACTTTATCAGTACTTGTATCAGATAAATGTATAAATTCTAATGGTATACCTAATGTAGTTGAAACACATTGAATCATTTTAATAAATAAACCTTGACCCATACATACACCACCTATACTTAATAAAACACTTGCATCATTAAAATATATTTGAATTAATGCTCCACCTTGATTTAAAAATGGTGCTCCAAATGCAATACCAAATTTAACTGGTATAATTGACATGCCTTTTTTACGATATCTATTTTTTAAATTATATTCTTCTATTAATTTTAATCTATTTTCATAATTTGAACATTTTATAGTTTCATTAAATAATCTTTCAATTCTATAACTATCCATTATTTTCATCTTGTATGGTGTTATATTATTTTCATTATTATAAAAATTAACTTGTCTCAATTTTATAGATATTTCATTATTTAATCTTTCAATTTCTTTTAATTTAATATTATTATTATTATTATTTAATTGATTAGTAGTATTATTTAAATTATTATCATTTAATGGATTAGAAATATTAATATTATTATTTAATTGATTATTATTTAATTGATTATTATTATTTAAATGATATAAAGATAATTGATGTGATAAATGATCTAAAATTAATTCCATTGCCATACAACCTTGTGGACCACCAAAACCTCTAAAAGCAGTATTTGATAAAGTATTAGTTTTACAAATTCTACCAATAATAGTAGAATATGGAATATAATAACAATTATCAGCACATTGTAATGCTCTATTTAAAACACTTTCACTTAAATCCATACTATATCCACCATTAGCAATTAATTCCATTTCAATAGCATGTAATTTAAATGTAAATTTATGAATAGCAACTTTATATTTAACATAATATGGATGTCTTTGACCTGTTGTTGACATGTCAATATCTCTATCTAATGTTAATTTAATAGGTCTATTANATTTACTTGCTGCAACTGCAATAGCTGCTGCAAAATAAGTAGGTTTAGATTCTTTACCAC